GAGACCATGATTATAGAAGAAATTGCAATTAAAAGAACAATTAACAATGAGTTTATTTTCATTTTTAACAATATTTGGATCAAAAAGATATTTGAATTAGAAATGCGATAGAATCGAATTAAATTAATTTGAATTGCACCAGGCAATAAATAAAGTAAGATTTTAATTAGTAAGGGAAGAAGTAATTAATTATTAGGATTATAGAAGATTATTATTATTATTATCTATCTATTATTATTACTATTCTATTTCTACTTTTACTATTACTACTATTACTACTACTACTACTACTACTACTATTATTATTATTATTATTAAAAATAAAAATTATTATTACTTTTGTTTTCAAGAGAGAGATAAAGAGGACGGCAAAACATTTTCGACATTATTTATACATGGGAAAAAAAAAAATTTAACTTTATTTGAGTGAAAAAGGGTTTCTTTGTCGAATAAATTTAAAAATATATGAAACATATATATGATAATCAAAATTTTTTTTTATTATAAATTTTTGTTACAAAAAAAAAAATAAATTAAAAATTTACTATTTAGGAAATTTCGCGTATTCATTTCTTCTTTTAGAATGCCATAATAATAATGGAAGATAAATGTGTAATCTAATTTCATAACAATAATAATAATAAGGGTTTGTCAATTATTGTATCATTATTTTACTATTTTGGAATTTTATTTGATTCATTGTTAAATTTTCTTTATATTTTACAATCTAATTTATGAAATGAAAACAAATAAAAAAAAAAAAATAGCAGACAATAGAAATAAAGAGTTCTAAAAACTCGAATTAAAGTATTTTAAAACCATTAATATTAATATTAGTATCAGTATATTTTAACATTTTTTCTTATTATTAACATTTTCATTGTTACCATCAACATTTATTATTTTTATTATCATCATCGTCTTCTTTTATTATTGACAAATGTTCCTTCCATTGTTGGTCCTTTTCTTTATCCAGTTCATCCAACATTCCTTGTGCAATCTTTACAATTTCTTTCCTCCGTTCTCTTATCAAATCAGATCCATCACTGTATATCTTATCCAATTTTTCTAAAGTTTTAAGTATTAAATCTTCCATCATTAAAAACGTTTTGTTTTCTTTTGTAATTGGTAAGATTTGTTTCTTCTTATTATCATCTTTGTCATTGATACGGAATGTTAATTGACCAATTTTATTGTCATATTTTGATTGAATATTTAATAATTGTTGTTGAATTGATTTCAATTCTAAAAGTTTTTTAAGAATTACTTTGGTATTTTTATTTTGTTGGCTTTGATTAATAAATTTATAAATTTTATTTGCTGCAACTTTTTGTTGTGAAGACGATGACGATGATGGTAATGAATAATTTGTGTTGGAATTGGAATTGGATGAATTCATTTTCTCCTTTTCTTTTTCTTCTTTTTGTTTTTCTTTTTCTTTGATTTCTTCAGGTGTCATAACTTTAATTTTTCTATTTCTTGCAATTTTTTCTGGTTCGAATAATTTAATATTTCCTTTGTGATATTGTGTATCATTATCATGATCATAATAATTATAATTACTATTGATGTGACGTAGATTGTTATTATAGAAGCCATTATAATAAGGTCTATGATTATAGCTATTATTATAATAACCGCTACTATTATTATTTCTTGTGTATATATACACATTAAATTTTTTGTTTGCTGTGATCAATGCAGTGTTGAAATTTTATTATGTAACTAGTACAAATTTAGAAACTATCTCCAAAAATTAAAATTTTGATTAGGGTGTAATGTTACACGCACATTCCATATAAATCTTGATTTTCTCTAAAATTTTCTAATTTTGGTAAAAACCTAAATTTTTATTTTGTCACATTTTATATCAAACTTCCACCATGTGTGTGTTACAGTAACAGCATTGTGCCATTTATGCTCCAATAAAATTTCATTGGAACATTTCAACAAATTTCATTGGAACATTTCAACAAATTTCAATTGGAATTGGAATGTTCCAAATGTGGTTCCAATGGAGTTAACCAATGAAATTCAATTACAATGACATCCACACAATTTTTATTGGTCAATATCAATTGAAGGTCTACATTGGAACCGCATTGGAACATTCCAATAGTGCTACAATGTTCCAATTGCACAACACTGCAGTAATATATCCAATTTACATATTAATATTAATATTTTTTTTCCAAGTTGAAGTTTATCTTTATTAATTACAGTCAGGGAATATGCTAAATTTGGTATTTCCTAATTTATACATGATAAATGTTCTGGAATTTCTTTAGCAGAAATTTGTTTGGCCAAATTTGTGCAGATCCTTTCATTGAATAAAATAAAAACAATCTTTAAAGAAAAGAAAACAAGAAAATCATTGTGAAGCTTTATTAACTGGCCATATAACTTCCAAATTATAGATTAAGCAATACAAGGATGATGTTTTTGTAATTTAACATATAGTATATCATCCTAATAGATAATTTTAACATTCCAAATAAAAAAAGATCTAACAAAGTGTAAGATATTTAATTAATAATTATTTTTGAAAGCCTAATTATATATTCAATAATTTTTCCATAATAGTTATTTAATAAAAATGAAAAGATAATCAATTAATATTATATGTACAGTGTGGGACAAAAAATTTTGCCTTCAATGTTGATGTAATTAAAACCTGTATACTTATTAAATTTAAAGAGTAT